CCAGTGGCATCACCCCAGTGATCTAGTCTTCAAAGACATGCTGCTAGCTTGCATGCCATGAGACTTAAAAGGAAGATTATCCATGGGCAAGAAGAATTGCTGGATCAAACCAAAATTCCATGTAACCCAGTGTCCTGTTCCCAACAGCGGTCAGTCACACACTCCAAGCAAGACCACAAGGGCAGCATTCAACTAAGTTTTACAGCAAGTACACCCGCTGAAATGTATGAATACGACCAAGACAGGGTTGTTAATTTCAGTGAGTCTACTCTGAGTAAAATGAAGCTGAATACCCCTCCATGGCATCAGTCTCTGTCCTCCGCGTGTGATAATAACTCTGCAATGTAACACAGAGGTAGCTGCCAGCATGACGTTCTCAGGCAGTGTTCGAAATTAGCCAGGCACACTTTTTGCACCTGATTATTGGTCACCTGCAACCAAGTGAAGATGCCTGGACGCCACAACGGCACCTGATATCTCCACCACCTGGAGGTGCACGCCTGGGCATCAATGGATTTGGACTGTTCTCACTCGCTAATACCACATCCTGTAGAATTCTATCTATTTTATCTGTACAATCAGAATGTATTTCAGGAACCAAAGTGCTTTTTCTGTGCAGCCTGAGCAGGAAACAGCGGTTTAGTGAATTGTTGCTTGTTTTCTCTTACCCCACTGCCCTGCTCACAGTTGGGAAGAATATTCCTAGGTTATGAATGGTTCCTGTCACCACTAAGAAAAAGAAGCAGGAACAGGCCAATAGATAGGCAGACAATCCCTGGATCAAGTGACTTTTCTTCTTTAAGTTCTCAAAGTTCTCAACCTAGCTCAAGGTTGTCATCTGAACTAGCCAGATGTTTGACTGAGAATCAGTCAGTCAGTCCCATCACTGGGAAAATAAGACACGAGAGCAATCTTGACCCACAATGGCAAGTAGACATAAGGTTTTGGTAAATGGTTTATATATAGCTTATATATCTGAGTTTCTAACACTGGAGCCCAACATCAGGAGGGTGACAGATTCCCCATTTCTGATTTAAGAGGCATCCTCCGATCTCCTGGAGAGAATGCCTCTTTTAAATAGAGGCATTCTTCCACCTCTTGCATGAGTAGGGAATGCTGATTCCCAGGAGCAGGGATGGGGAACATCTATAGGGCCCCCTCAGAAGTGTCTGGACTCCAGCGCTTGAAATTAGCCAGGCGCCAGGCACATTTTGTGACTGACACGGGTTCATATGTGACCATGTGGAGATATCTGGATGACAGGTTGGCGAATGGCCCCTCCACCTGGCTGGCCCCTCCAGCTCTCTTAAGCAGGTCATTTATTGCATTTATCTCCCACCTTTTTCTCCAAGGAGTACATGGTTTACCCCCCTGCTCAGTTAATTCCTACAACGACCCTGTGAGGTAGGTGAAGAGGCCGTGACTGACTCCAAGGTCACCCGGCCAGAGAGTGGGGATTTGAACCCTGATCTCTCAGTCTAACGCTCTAACCACTACACCCTACTGGCTTCCTAAAGTCTTTCTGCTATGGGGCAGCTCTATAAATTAAGCAGGGAACTCAATATGGAGAAAGCAAAATGTCACTTAGAGAAGGATCCGAATTATTTTCCTTGAAGCTTGAATCTGTTGTATTCTAGATTGCTTTATTTAATGTTGTAAACGGCTTTGAGATTTTTTTATTTAAAATATAAACCAGTAAAGAAATGAAATTAATAGGAATAAACTCCACTGCAAAATGGCACCTACACATACTGCTGTGGTGCCTGTAACCCAGGTTTAATTTAATATATAAGCTAATTTGGTGATTAGCTTATATATCTGACACTATCTCATTCTCCAAATTTGGAATCCCCTCTGTCATGCCAACATGATCCAAAGGTGGTTTTCAAGCAATAAAGAAATACCCAAAAATGTTTTTCTGAAGGCCTTCTTGAACCTACTGCCAACCTGTCACACTAGGCAACCCCTCTTCTTTGGGAAGGACCGCAGTTCAGTGAGAGCACACCTGCTTTTCATGCAGAAGGTATCGGGTTCAATCCCCAGTGATGGCTGGGAAAGAGTCCCTTCCTGAAACCCCAGAGAGCTGCTTCCAATCGGTGTGGACAACACTGAGCTAGATGGACCCACAGTCTGACTTAGTCAGCTTTCTATGCTCCTAGTGTTAAGGGAGATGAATATCCCGCTGTCTGCTCCAGAGATGGGAACAACACCTGTGGCCTCTGGACCAAAAGACCAAACACCAACATCTTCCCTGACCATTGCCCATAATTTCTGCCTTGCAGGGGGTTGGACTAGATGACCCTGGGGGGCCCTTCCAACTCTACAATTCTGTGGTTGCTGCGAGTTCAAAGACAGCTGGAGGGCAGCATGTTGGATATCACTGGAAAATGTAATGTTTGTGGGTGCAAGACACCCTAAATTCCTGTGTCCAGCAGGAGTTAGAATTTAATCAAGGTAAATGTTAAAATATATTTCCTGACTAGGAAATTGCCTGGGGAGATGGACAAAAGGAAGGTAATTAGCCATTAGGAAAGCAAAAGAGGGGCCCCCCTCCCTCAACGCAGAATTAGTTTTGAAGAAAAAGCAGAGTTTTGAAGCAGAGTTTCAGAATTGGCTGTGATGTGGGAAAAGGTTGCAGGATGGAAAAGGCAGAACACAATGTTTAGCTTTCTGCTTGAATCCAAGGCCGCAGCTATGGGAGAAACAAGACGCTTTTGGGGTGTTAATGCCGTGAACCTCTCCACTACAGGCTCGGGTGGGATATCTGTGTAAATAAGCCATATATCCTAGAGACACCAGTGTCTCCGCTGTGCCTCATTCCCAAAGGCCAAGCGCAGACCCTGGCGAAGCACTTGGAACCCCTGGAATTCTGCATGACTCACAGATTAGGGTGGGTTCGGCTAGAGAAGTGTTTCCCAAACTTGGGTATCCAGATGTTTCTGGACTACAGTTCTCATCATCCCTGACCACTGGTCTTGCTAGCTAGGGATGATGGGAGTTGTAGTCCAAAAACAACCAGAGTCTTCCCTGATGGAAAGCATCTCCCTGTTTATATACAGCAGTAGGGGCTCTGCAGACTGAAGAGGGGCAACATCTGTGGCCTTCTGGCATCGATAACACCTGGAGAGGAGCCACGGGTCCCCCCCACAATTCCCCTCCCTCCCTCTCTGTGGCTTAAAGCGATGCCCATTAGGAATGATATTTTGAGAAGGATTTGAAGGTGATGAGGGAGATTGGAGGGGGTGCGGGAAAGAAGAGAAGAGGAAGTACTCCCCTATAAACAGAGAGTGAGAGCAGCCATCTGAAGCAAAAGAAGACCTGGCTAACCAGAAAGCCTGAAGCCACAGTGGCCAGTCCATGGAGTGGGGAAGGAAACCGTCACAGAGACAGAGCTCAGTGGAAAATCAAATAAATAAATAAATGCAAAACTCCAGGAAGAGGTGGGGCAAGATTTCTGGTGGGGGAGGGGGCAAGCAAGAGTGAGAAAAGGTCTCTGCCAGGCGAATCGGGCTACAGGGGGAAGCCTAGGTCCCACCCCTCCAGCACATCACCACCACCATCATCATCATCTTCATCCTAACTGGAGGATTGAGGAGGGACTTTTATTCTGGAACAGAATCCTGTCTGGCGACCTGCCAGGTTTAGGTGCTAAGAGAAGACGCAATTATGTCCTCAAGCTCCCCTCCCCTCCGATTTTTTTTTACCTCTCCCTCTCTGTCCCCCCCCCCCCGCCCAATAAAGCCAGTGGCCTGCTCATTCAAAGTCAGGAAGCCATTTCAGACGCCCCAGAAACCCCACTGTCTCCTAAGCCCCCCCCAGAAGTACTCTCCCTCCCCACACTCAATAAAACAACTGGGTTTTTTTGGGGGGGAGAGAGGGGAGTTATTTTCTAAACCATGCTTTGTATTGAAGTGCTCCGGCCGCCCTCTGCCTCCCCGCCCCCACTCAACTCCAGTCTCTCTCTCTCTCTCTCCTTTCCAAACTGGGAGGGAAAGGAGGGAGTGCGGGATGGTGGCAGGAGGAGGAGGAAGAGGAAGTGAAGAAGCAAGGCCGGGGAAAGAGGACAAAACAGGGCTCTAACTTTCTGAAACCAGCTTTTTTCCTCCTTCCCACCCCAAAGGCCCGCGGTGGGTGTTTTTTATCAGATAATGCTACGGAACCCGGCGAGAGCCGAGTAGTTTGGAAACTACTTCTCGTGGAAATAAAAGTGAATATTGTCAAGAGGAAGCCTCCTCCAAAACCGAAGTTCCAGCTTCCTGTCTCTCTCTCTCTGTCCTCTCCCCCCCGCCCCTCCATCCTCGGTGAAGCACGCAAAAGAAAGAAGAAAAACCCACTTTCTTGCGAGTTTTTATGAACACACACCTTTTTGAAAAAGAAAGTTCTTCTCCAGCTGCTTCGCGTCCACCTCCTCCCGAAATCCCCCGCCGAAGGTTCGGCAGACGCTTTGCCAGGAAGTCGAGTAAGCAAAATCTCACGCCTCCCCCCCCCTGCCAGGCGAAGGGGCCGGGAGGCGCAGCAAACTCCCAGTCCAGCCCGGCCGGGGAGATAAGGAGGCTTCCAGCCCCAGCCCCAGCCCCTCTGCTCGTGCCCCACTCCCCTAGAGGCCGCGGGAATCCCCACTGCCACCGCCTCGCTCCTCCTCCCCGCCCCAAAGGGGAAAAACCCCCAACTTTGAAAGAGACGCACTTACAAAGCCGCTTCAACGATCCCCCAGATCGAAGGGTCGGGTAGCTCCACTTCTTTTTCAAAAAGCCTCCCTTTTCTGTCCACCCCCTTCGCCGGGGGGTGGAAGCGAGGAGGAAGAGCAGCCTCCTCTTTCGAACCGGCCGGCGAGATCCCTCCTCTCTCCCAATCCTGCTGCGCTCTCGCCCCCCTCCGTTGGCCAAATGCGCTCTTTACACATGGAGTCGCTGGGCGCGAGCATGCGCGCACCGCCCGCCGCCGGCCCACTGGGCTCTTGAATCCTCCTCCTCCTCCTCCGATCTTCCTCTTCCTCTCTTCCCTCCCCCGGCCAAGCTCTTAATTAGATGGCAGCAGGCAAACTCCGCCTCTGCCATCGCCTTCCTTTTCCTCCGCCCGCCCTCGCCAACTCCGCTCTCAAAACTTTGCGCAAAATGGAACGGCTGGAAGAGCGCGCGCGCAACGGGGAGACTCGGGCAGGGGATAGGCGTAGAAAGAGAGCGCAGCGAAGGATCGGCTTGGAGATCGGGGCAGAGAAGGAAGGGGGGTGGCTGAGGATGCAACGGGGGTGGCCCCCCACTTTTTGGGTGTTCCTCTTTCTCTTTGGGGCCACGTGGAGAGGCTGGAGCGCGGCAAGCCAAGTCTGGGTATGTGCCGCCGATATAGAGGCAGGGGGCTTCTTTCTGCGGAGGGAAGAGGAGGCGGCTGCTACTGCTACATCCGATGGGGCTTTGCATGCTGGGGGGGGGAGGAAGAGGAGAAGAAGCCGCCCAGCCTCGCTAGGGCCTCGGTGCCAGAGAGCGCTTGTTGTTGGACCTGGAGTGAGAGGAAGGAGAATGACGGCCGCCCGGGACTCGCAGCTGCCGGGCGCTTTGCGAGGCCCAGGGGTGCTGACGACACGCGTTTGCTTGCTGCGTTTACTCGGGAAGAAGGGCGGCCGGAACGGTAATCCCTTTATCGGGGCCGGCCGGGCCGACTCAACTGTCAGCAAGCTTCCAGGTGCTCCGGAGCTCTCCGCTGACGCTGCGGAGTCGAAAGCCAGCTCTCGCCTTTCTGGCATTTGGGTTGGGGCCTCATGCGAGGGACAGGGTGGCTCAGTCGGTAGAGTCTGACTCTGCGGCTGGTGGCTTCGAGCCCCACGTCGGGCAAAAGGTTCTTGCATGGCATGGAGTTGGGCTAGACGACCCTCGAAGCCCCTCGCAACTAGGCAGTTCTATGCTTCTCCCACCCACTCCACCGCAATTGCTCGGGACAGTTTCCGCGAAATTGGGGCATTCACAATCTGGGTTAAAATGAGAGCTATAAAGAAGCACCTATGGCCAAACCCCTTGAGGCCTCCAATCACTGCTGGGCTCCAAACTTCAATCAGCCACAGCCATCATAAGGCAGGTTTCTTTTGTGTTCCCCGTTAAAACCAGCACTTGATTCAGAGCTGGAGGACTGTAATTTTAATTTGTTTTGGGGGGAGCAGTTGGGCACCTGCTTTATATGCAGGAGGTCCCAGGTTCAAGCCACTGGGGTGGGGGGCACACACCCCAGCCACCTCCATCTACTGCTACTAGCAGTGCCTTCCAGGGGTCGCAGGCAGAAGCACCCCAACCCCATCTTTTATTTAGGAGGAGAGACTCCAGGAATTGGCTGCATGAAAAGCATTGTTCTACTCAACAGTAGAGCCACTGAAATGAATGGGCCCAATCTAGGCATGTCCTTTCATTTCAGTGGGCTGTACCTAATGCTAATTCTACCCAGGAATTAGAACTGTTGAAATTGATGGACATAACCAACTCAGGTCCATTCATCTCAGTGGGTCTGCCCTGTGTAGAAGGTGCAACTCACTGGGTCTACTTGTGAGTACAACTTTGGATGCAAAGACCACGCTCCAGTCTCATGTGGGCTGCAGCTTAGGCTTCTTCCATCAGCAACTTTGAAGTCTCTTTAAGGTTACCATATTTATTCGAGTCTAATGTGCCCTCGGATCTAATGCACACCTAAATTTTCAGAACCTTGAAACCAAAAAAAGGTATTTGCTGGCGAATGCAAATGTGCCATCGAATCTAATGCGCACCTGAATTTTCGCAGCATAATTTGGCCAAATGAGATTAGATTTGAGTAAATACGGTATTAATAACTTCCATCCAATCTCTTGTGCCCACTACAGCTCCCCCGCCCCATCTTTGAGGATGAGATTTCAAGCCTACACCAGAGGCAAATGCAGCGGCAACACGCCCAGCCCTTACACCAACTACCCTTCGGTGAACACAATAAAACCTGGAATGCAAAGCAGGTGAAAAGGTGTGGTCTGGCTGGTCATGAGGCTGAGGCTGGCCATGATGGCTGTCAGCATTCCAAGGTCTTTTAGGTGTCACGTTCTGGGGTGTGCCTTTAAGGTAACGCTGTGTTTGAAGAATGGAGGGCATCAGCTGTGCTGCATTAATTATACTCCCTGGTGAGTTTGTAGGAGCAGGGTGGGTCCGAAGGGAAAATGGCTATCTACTGGCTTTTTTTTTTCCTTCTTCACCTAAATGGAATAGAGGAAGACCTTTTTCGTTTTCTTATATTTTGCCAGGGAAACATGACCAGCTTTCTTAAACCTAAAATTCTCAACAGGAGGGCAGATCCTATAAGTTGAAACAGGAATCTTCTACAGAAGACGCTGCCCAGTCCTATGGCATTTTAAGAGGGAGTTTGGAGATAGTGCACCTTAAACAGGTGACCACGTGCAAAGTTTAAGGTCAGAGTGGCCAAGAAATAAAGCCCAATACCAGTCCTGCTTAGAGTAGACCTGCTGCAATTGATGGGCATGACTCACTTTGGCCTTCTAATTGCAGCATGTCCGTTGTGAGTAGGGCTAGCACTCGCTACTACTCTTCCCCATTAAGATTCTGGGGCAGGTTACAGCAATGTATAAAGACAATATTGAAATTGTTTAAAGAATTTACAATCAGGAAGGATAGGGTGGGTCCTAAAATATAGCAACACAGGAAGAGCCCTGCCTGCTCAGGGCAATAGGCCATCTAGCATATGATCCTCTTCTCAAAGTGACCAACCAGGTGCCGCTTTTGAGGAAGAAACACAAGTGGAATGGTATCTCTCCCCACTTGTGATTCCCAGGAACTGAAATCCAGAGGAACAAATTAGGGTGTACAAAGGTGAGGGTTAAAAAGGTGTGTTTTCAGCATACAGTAAAGTACTTTCCTTCCTTGGATGTTTTTAAAGGAGAGGTTGAATGGCCTTTAGCTGGGATTCTTGCATTGCAGGGGTTTGGATTAGATGACCCTCAGGGTCCCTTCCAACCCTACAGTTCTGATTCCATACAGTTTCAGGTGCCATGCTCACCTCTGTAGAGAGGGGGTTCCACAGCTTAGGGGCTGCCACAGAGTGGCCTGTTTGGCAACTGCTTCCCTTGTTCTGCACTGGCTCCCAGTATGTTTCCAAGCACAATTCAAAGTGTTGGTCCTGACTTTTAAAGCCCTAAACAGCCTCGGCCCTGTATATCTGAAGGAGCGTCTCCACCCCCATCATTCAGCCCGGACACTGAGGTCCAGCTCCAAGGGCCTTCTGGTGGTTCCCTCTTTGCGAAATGTGAAGCTACAGAGCACCAGGCAGAGGGCCTTTTCGGGAGTGGCACCTGCCCTGTGGAATGCCTTACCGCCCAATGTCAAGGAGATAAACAACTACACGACTTTCCAGAGACATCTGAAGGCAGCCCTGTATGGGGGTTTTTAATATCTGATGTTTTGTTGTATTTTTACATTCTGTTGGAAGTTACCGAGAGTGGCTGGGGCAACCCAGTCAGATGGGTCGGGTACAAATAAATTAGTATTAGTATTAGTATTAGTATTAGTATTATTACTAGACTCTAGCTGTCATCATCCCTGACTATTGCTCACTATGGTGAGGTACATGTGATCTCCCTGAGCTTGTTGCTGTCTGAATAACAGGTTTGCAACTACTAGCATGCAGTGTTAAGAACAACATAACCTATAAAGGTAAAGGTACCCCTGCCCGTACGGGCCAGTCTTGACAGACTCTGGGGTTGTGCGCCCATCTCACTTAAGAGGCCGAGGGCCAGCGCTGTCCGGAAACACTTCCGGGTCACGTGGCCAGCGTGACAAAGCCGCATCTGGCGAGCCAGCGCAGCACACGGAAACGCCGTTTACCTTCCCACCAGTAAGCGGTCCCTATTTATCTACTTGCACCCGGGGGTGCTTTCGAACTGCTAGGTTGGCAGGCGCTGGGACCGAGCAACGGGAGCGCACCCCGCCGCGGGGATTTGAACCGCCGACCTTTTGATCGGCAAGTCCTAGGCGCTGAGGCTTTTACCCACAGTGCCACCCGCGTCCCAACATAACCTATGGATAATTTCAAATATGTAGTAAGATTCCAGTCCCCATGGTTTTGGTTTTTTTAAAAGATAGGTGTGTCGCAGAGTCCTACCTGGAAATACCTGGAATTAAACCTGGGACCTTTTGCATGCAAAGCAGAACAACCTCTTGCAAATATGGGAACAAAGACAGTCCCTCTGGAAGCAGGCCTAATAAACTATGTTAATGCCATTTCACAACGGTGAGGCATGGAGACAACAACGCCAAGTCACAAATCACAGGCCTACATGTTCACATTTGTTTAACTATTAATGTTCTGATTCCAGGGCCTTGGAAGAGGAAGCAAGCATGTTGGGTCAGGCGAGGAGGGCCTAAGTTAAATACTGCTAATATTTTAAAATGAACAAAACGTGGAGTGGTTTCCCTTTAGGTTCCTTCCAGCTAAGGATAGTGGCGACAGAAATAGCAAGGGTTACATCATCTGCTTTCCTAAATATTAATGTACACACACACACACACACAAACACACACAGTGTGTTCTCTTGAGACAGGCCAGAGATTGCACAGTTTTGAGAGCGAGGGAAGAAAAGGGGGACAGTTCAAGGTATACCTGTCTGCCTGGTAGGCTGTGTGAAGGCTAGTCACCTCCCCTAGGGTTAGCCAATGTAATGCCTTTCAGATGTTGTTGGAGTATACTTCTGATATCATCATCTCTGACCATTGGGCCATGCTGATTGCCAAGAACGAGGAATGTAAGAAGAGCCCTGCTGGATCGAGCCAATGGCTTACCCAGTCATAGAATTGTTGAGTTGGAAGGGACCCCAAGGGCCATCTAGTCCAACCCCCTGCAATGCAGGAATCTCAGCTAAAGCATCCAGGACAGATGGCCAACCAATCTCTGCTGAAAAACCTCCAAGGAGTCCACCACCTCCCGAGGGAGTCTCTTCCACTGTCAGAAAGTTATTCCAGAAGTTGAGTCAGAATCTTCTTTCTTGTCACTTGAAGCCATGGGTTCAAGTCCTGCCTTCCAGCACCCTTTTTTCACAGTGGCCAACAAAATCTGCATGGTACCAAGCTGGTGTGTACCTCTGATCGACACAGACCAGAACTTCTTTTTTAAAAAAATCATTATAATGAAGCATGGGATTATTTCAGCACATGGCAAACAATACAATGACAGAAGAGCAGGGGAATGAGAAGAGGTTTGTCCATACAGCGGAGGTGGTGATTTTAAAATAAGAAGAGCCCTGCTGGATTACACCAAATGCCCATGTAGTCTGGCATTCAGTTAAGAACATAGGAAGAAACCTTAATAGTGAGTCAGATCATTGGTCCATTGAGCTTAGTGTTGTCCACACTGACTGGCAGCAGCTCTCCAGGGGTCTCTTCCCTGTCATGCCTGCAGATGCCAGGGACAGAATGTTCTACATGCAAAGCGGATAATCTATCACAGAGCTATGAGGTGGAGCTCCAAGGACCTTCTGGCAGTTCCCACACTGTGAGAAGTGAAGTTGCAGGGAACCAGGCAGAGGGTCTTCTTGGTAGTGGCGCCCACCTATGGAATGCCCTCCCATCAGAAGTGAAGGAGATAAGTAACTATACAACCTTTAGAAAACACCTGAATTGGGAGGGAATTTTTTAATGTTTAGTTATGTTTTTATATATGTTGGAAGCTGCCCAGAGTGGCTGGGGCAACCCAGTCAGATGGACAGGGTACAAATAATAAAATTATTATTATTATTATTATTCCTTGCTCTCCACCCAGATTGAAAGCCCTGCCCATGGCAGAGAGGTGTATTATAAACCACCCTGTGAGTCTCAGATGAAGGGTTGTATACAATTTTTAACAACAACAGAGGGGCCAATGCTCTTTGGGGTCTCCCTGCTCCACAAAGGAGATGATGCTTTCAAAATGGAAGTTGTCTTTTTCAAGCCCTGGCATGGAAATCACTCATGTACTGAATCCTATTCAGATCCAAGTTTTGCCTTTTTTTTGTTTTTCAAAAAGAAAACACATTTAAGGATGGTTGGGGAGCCTCAGGTCCATGGGCAGAATTCAGCCCTCCAGCTTACCTGGCCCTCAAAACTCTCCCCATGCATCGCCCCATAGAAGCCAACTCCTATGGTCTGAGAGGTCTCCCCCCACAATAAAATGTTTGAGGGGGCTGCCCCTTCCCCCAAAGTTGATGAGCATTGCCATTCAAATGGTGTGTGTGCACTGCGTCATGTGATCGATTATACAGGGTGGGGCTTACCTGGGCCCCCCAATATTTGATTCAAGTTGGCACCCTGCATCACCCTGTCACAGCTCCTGCTTCACACTGTCCTTGAGTGTTTTGGTTTGACCACACTGTGCCTTTGTGATAAAGCCTCTTTCCTTGCCTTGATGGAGGATGGAGAGAAAAGTGTGGGCGAGCAGAAACCAGCCTACTGCCCAAAGGTTAAATTTGCATCCATTGCTCTGCCCAGTTTTGCCTGTGGCCCCACTCACCACCTGCATGCAGTCCTCAAAAACATTACCAGAAGGGAATGCAGCCCTAGAACTGAAAAACGTGCTCCCCACCCCAAATCCCTGACTTAAAAGGATTGTCTATGTATTCATTGGAGAATTAGCACCCTTGGGTGTCAGACTTTAGTGGGGCTCTTAAGTGAAACCACTTAGCATAACTTGTTCAGGTGGATGTGGAAAGGTGCACTTGGAATGACAAGGAGAAGATGAGTCAACTTACATTAAATAGGTTTGTGTACAGTATATGAAAGACGGAGGGAGGGGGAAAGGAATCTGTTGACCTCAAAGCAAGATTTGCACACCTGGGATTAAAATACAACTCATTGTTTTTCTGAACTGCTGATGGGGACAAGAACAGTAGTGTGCTGCAGAATTCTGGAGGTGGCGCAGCTGTCCTGCGCACTACACCCCACCCTAACAGTAGATGGCTTTGGTTCTGGGGGGAT